AATAAAATATATAATATAAAAAATTATATTAAATAAAAAATAAAATATATAAATTTATAATAATAAATAAAAATAAAATATATGATATTAAAAATATATTTAAAAGATGATATTATATAAAAATTAATAATAAAAAATATAAATATATTAAACTTATATTTTAATAATTAAGAGTAATTTTGAAAATTAACATTGCATTCTCAATAAAGTACTTGTAAATCAAACGCTACAATGTTATCTTCTTTACATTTTAATAATTATTTTACTTGTATATTAAATACTATAATATTATTTTCCCTACAATGACATTACTTGCAATCACATTACCTGTAATCACATTACATTATAAAATACTAAACGATACCTTATGTCTTTTATTTATATTTTGTTAAATTACATTTATTCAAAATAGTAATTAACCATGCATAATTAAATGAAAAAAAGGAGATATGTATTCTTTATCTATATACGTTTTAGTATAGTTGAAACATAATAAATTTTGATACTTGGATTTTTATTTGTCCAATAGATCGTGTCATAATAATTGAATAATAAAGATTGAGTAGTATTAATTAAGTTCAAATCGAATTCCACCTATTTAACTCAAGTTTGCAAAAAATATGAAATATTAAACGTTACTCCATAGTCCATATTTATTTGGTTTTGTTCCTCACTCATTACTTGGAATTTAAAATTTTATTTGAATTTTATGAAACAAATAAAAATTCATATTTTTTTATTATGATAATAAATAATTAGAAAGTTATGTGATAAATTGAAAGTGAATATCGAAGAGAAAAGGGCAGATCATATCATAAACTGGTTGTCAAAGCGATGAGGCGTGAGCATGACAGCAGCTCCACAAAGTCACCACTCACCAAGTGGCTGTGCGCGTTTCAAATTTGAACAACTCTGTTTCAGAGTCAGACTCAGAGTCAAAAGAAGAAAACCAAAACCCCTCCCCCTCAGCCTCGGCCTCAGTTAAAATTAATAAGCAAGACATCCGTTATACGATTTGTCTTTCTGCCATCATACATTCCAATTTGGTAATTTAGGTACACAGCATTAAATTTCCGTTTTTTTAATTGTTTTTTATTACATGGAGGAGGAGGAGTAACTGTAAATTTGACAGGACAAGAAACAAGTGGGGGATAATGCTCCCCCCACCCTCTGCTTCAAAGATTTGCAAAGATCTTACGAAATTGGATCCTCAGAATCTTCGCCTTTATCTGTCTTTTTAAATACTCTCCTCTCTCTCTCTTTCTTTCTTTTTCCCTGCCCTGCCCCTTCTTTATTTAAAGCCAAAGCACCACACATTTTCTTCTTCGTGAACCGCCCACGTTCTTCTTTCTCTTTTTCTATATATAATTTACACTTCTCCTCAGTGACCAAGAGCTTCGGCATTTTGCTTCTTCTTCTGCCTATCTCCTATTCTTATGGCGACTGCCGCTGCGGTTTTACCTTCTGGTTCACAGGACTTGCATGTTCTCGCCGTGGATGACAGCCATGTGGATCGTAAGGTTATCGAAAATTTGCTTAAGATATCTTCTTGTAAAGGTACTGATTAGTTCAATCCAATTTTTTTTTTTTTATGGTTTTAGGATGAAAAGTTGTGGTTTTTAGCTGATATTGAAGATTGGGTTTGCTTCTTTATTTTGGTGCAGTGACGGCTGTGGAGAGTGGGACAAGAGCTTTACAGTATCTTGGTTTGGATGGAGAAAAAGGGTCTCTGGGGATCAATGTAAGTAGTTTTATCTGTTTGGTTGCTGAGCAAATGGTAGAGAAGGAAAAAACAACTTTTTGAGTGTCAGTTTTGTTGAAGGGGAAAACTTTGTATTCATATTCTTTATCACATTCGCGTTTCTCAGCAACCAGATGAAATGCAACGTTGGTTTTTTTTGGCTTTGTTCTGTTCTTAATTTAGGATGGTTTTTTAACGATTGATTTGCTGTTTGATGGCTGTGATTACAGGATTTGAAGGTGAATCTTATAATGACTGACTATTCCATGCCCGGAATGACAGGATATGAGCTCCTCAAGAAGATCAAGGTTAGCCTTGGTTTTTTAAACTAGTTCCTGAAATTTGATGATCATCCTAATCCTCAAGATGGTTTCAAAATTGAGGTTGAATTTTCGTATATAGTTGTTGACTATGTTTAATTTGATTTGGAACAGCAATCATCGGCTTTCCGAGAAATTCCTGTGGTGATCATGTCCTCTGAGAACATCCTCACTCGTGTTGATAGGTATGCTCTTAAATTAATCCCTTTGTCTTTTTTTTTTGTTTGGTTTGCATCTTTCAGTATTTGGTATTGACTGATGTTTATGTTTTGGATTTAAGTGTAGATATTAGTGAAAGAATCTTGATATGATTTCTGTGGGCATGATGTTGATTGATTCTGCTGTTTTTCTACTTGCTGATAATTTCATGGATAGGCCAAATCTGGAAATATATTCTAAATTGCTTTCCTTCTTTTACAAGGAAATCTGGGAAAATTGACATGCGTGCATTTTTTATCCAAATCCCAGTGGGTTGAAACCATTGGACGAAAATTGAGATGAAGGAATCTCACGGATCCTATTGAGTTAGCAGGCATTATCGATAAGATTTGTCAAACAGATGAGTCATTATAAGATTAGATTAGGCAAATCCGATGATCTTTTGTAATCAGACAAAATTGATAAGATTGTATTCTTTTCTTTGTATGGATTTGTTTGGGAAAGAGACCAACCAAAATCTTGATACCAAGAACAGGTCACTTGTCTAGTGGTCATGCCTCCTAAAAATGTTCTGATTATTATTCTATGTGGATCTCTGCATGTGATGTCACGCCACTACTTGTTTTTCTTTTTATTATTTAATTTATTTATTTTAAAAATAATATTTTCTTTTAATAAAAGTCATTCAATGCCATTAGAATTTTATTCACAAATTGGATAAATCTTATTAGTGTTTATAAGAAATTTTAAATGAAAGTCATTTCATGTAATTAAAATTATAGCTATATTTATAATAAAAAAAATTTAAAATGGCAATTTAAAAGTATAAGGAGTAAAAATATTCATTTTCATGGATCTAAATGTTTTTATTTACATAGAGTATAGATATACATAATCGTTTAAATAGTTGAACATGTCCATGATAAAATATCTGGAGGACCTAATTAATGGAGGAGGAGGAATATTGTGAGGGGTGGAGCAGTGGTTAAAAATAATTTCCAGCTTAGATGTGATGTAGACATGGAAGATTAGATGGATTCCCGTGTGGACTAGGGATTGCCAACTTTGATCACAGCAAGCAAGGTTTCCATCTTATTCCATGAAAACTTGGTGGGATTGCTTGAGTGCAATTCCAACATCATCCCCATGAGACTAATAGTAAACCATGTTGAGGAGTTACTAGCGTAGCATGCCATCAAGATGTAAATGATATGGTTTTAACTTTTAATCTGCTGCTTTGCAATCGCATTTGATGTGAATGTGCTCATGCTTGATATTGGTGTGTATGTTTTTCTCATATGTTGTCTATGCAGTATATCATTTTCTTTTATTACTCCCTTTGTATAAATGCTGGCACGAAGCAAAACCCTTGGCTAAAACATCTTTTTGTTCATGGACAGGTGTTTGGAGGAAGGGGCAGAGGAGTTCCTAGTCAAGCCTGTAAAACTGTCAGATGTGAAACGGTTGAAAGATATCATAATGAGAGGAGAAACAGAGGAAAATGGGGGGAGTAGAGTCAACAAGAGAAAGTTGGAAGATGATGGTCATCCCCCGTTGTCTTCGTCATCGTTGTCATCATCATCAGCGCCATCATCTCCTTCGTCACCACTATCACCCCCACCTTCGACATCGACTTCGACTGTAGCCCCATTTGCTTGTGACCTAGGAACCACAGAACTACCGACATCACCTCTGCGTTCTTCCAAGAGGTCTAAATTGTGCAACAGTGACTGATTCTCCTCTAATCCTTTTCTTTTTCGGTTTTTTGTGGTAATTTTTTGTCAATTGTTGTCTATATCCTCAATAGTTTCCCCAGTGTGGGGTTGTAGGTGAAGATAACTTTTTTGTATATTGCACTTACACTGCCCTATTTGATGCTGACAAGAACTAATTAGGACCAGAAACAGAGAAACGTACAGAGATAGAAGAAATACAAATGATATTCCTTTTGTTCTAAGTAGGAAAAGAAACTTCATCAGAATCAATGAAATCCCAAATATTTGAGGCTCATTAGTTTTCACACCGCTCCATGATTATGAAAAATGCAAAGTATTAGATCAGATGCAAATGATAATCAGTCCCTTGATAGCATTTGTCAACGCAAAGTAAGTGGTGATACTCCATGCATTGGGTGTTTAAAAGAATTGGACAATGAATACCGAGCAAGCCTCAACTCAACTGCCACTTCACCGCAAAATGCCGACCAATCTCCTGAAGGGTGTCCAAAAATCTGCAAACAAGATTTTAATGACTCCCTGGAGTAGTTGAATGATTAGGTAGATATGGCCTCAACTGCATAAATTGCATTCCACCACCTGTATTTTTAAGGCTACAGCACCATTATTTTCACTATCTAATAAGATGATAGTCCATAAAGGCTTCAACTTGTGTAATGAAAACCATAAATTGGATGATGGTCCCACTCATTTACTTTTGATTTGGATGGTCTGGTGAAGTTGAGCTACTCCTATGAACTAACGTTGATGTTTTACAAGTCTTGAAATCAAATTTATTTGTATAAGAAGGTTACCAGTTCGCTTACTGATGAAGGATTTGGTGATGATTCAAGGGATTTGACACTGGCTTTTGGAAAAATACATTGTTCACGTAATATTCACAGAATGACACTGTACCAGCTTTGCCTAGCTGAATACAAAAACTAATCTCTCTAGGGTGTAATGATAGGTACATTCAAAACATTTTACCTTAAAAAAATGTACCATTAGGAACAGCTACAATATTGTTTCCATGTTAATGTCATCTCATCTAACTTTTCACATCAATCTTCCCATTTAATCCTTGAGTTGAGCAGCAGTGTGTGGCAGATGAAAGAACAAAATCCTGAACAGTATCCAGGAAATGGTGGCACAAAGATCCCAGACTCGACCATTTGCTTTGTAAATTTACAACTCGGTTGCTATGGGATTTCCGCCCAACCATGTCGCGCCAAATGCCAGCTTGGTTCCCCCTTCGAAGGTTTTGATAGTCAAACACGACTTGGTTTCTAACGTATGAGGACTTTGTGAATCCTTGTTACAATCATAAAATATATATATATATATATATATATATATATACATATAAACAAGCTGACAATCACAAAACCAGAAAATAAAATATGCAAAGATCACTCGAGGCAGTGTGCCTGACTTGCGGCATTTGCCTAGATGTTGGCCATTGATTGTACAAAAGAAGAAATTGACATCATAGCTCTTGCATCCTCTTAACAACTGTAATTGCAGAGTCTCCCTCTCCCAAGAAAAATTATAGCATTTGACAAGGAAAGGAAGTAGTGGAATAAAATGTGCAGGAACCAGAAAGATGATGTTTCTGTCAGCTGTCAGGTCTCAAGTTTTCACTTTCCCTCTTCTATTTTTTAGTTGGCATAGCTTCATATGCAATGGTAATTGTAAATAAAGATTAAGACAAGGGGTAAAGTGTGAGAATTAGTTGTTTACATAGGAAAGATGACAATGATTGTGGCAGACTATGGAAAATGAGGTAGGGCGGCAAATGTCAAACCTCCTCATCATTCAGGAGTCGTAGCTGACTGTTTTCGTTTAGACATTTAGAGTTGCAAATAGCAACTTTGGTAAGAGGGCATTGTAGTCATTTGGAAGACGAGACAGCCGGGGTGACTGAAAACAAAACAACCGGCGAGCAACTACCTTCATTGAAACTGTCAGCAAAAGGCTACCAGTACACTGGACTGGAGTTACTCGCACCACATTGCCTAAAAGCAGCAAAAGAAGAAACCAGATGAGGAAGTTTCCTGTCCCCTTTTTACTACCTTCAGCAGCTTCATCTCTAGTTTTCGGTTAGGTTATGATGGTTCAGCCATGGCTTTTGCCATGTGCTACATTCTTCTTCTTGTTGTTTTCCTCCTCCTATGTTGTTGCTCTATCTTCCAGGCATCAACTTTTTCCCCACTTCACCAAAGTTCAGTCTATGTCTGAATCTTCACCTCCTTCCACCTCTATGGTTCAAAGCCTGGCAATGCCACCGGCTCTACCATCATCATCATCTTCAAAAGGGAAAGTTGTGAAGGTCATTGTTGCCACGGCTGCAACTACTCTACTTATTGCTTTGGTTGTCTTCTTCTTTCTCAAAAAGTTTGCAAGATGCTGCCGGAAAGGTAAGTACGAGTCAAGCTTTCGTCGAGAAGCTGTGGTGATTCCTGATGAGTTCAAGAAGTATGGTGGAAAAGTGAAAGGATTGATCGTTGATGAAAATGGAACAGATGTTCTTTGTATGACAAAACTTGATCGAAAACTTAAGAGTAACTTTCCAAAGGTCATGTTTAATCCTAGCTATGAAGAAAATGAAGAAGAAAAGAGGATAGATTCTACACCAGAGAGATCAAATAAATCAAAACCTCAAGAGGATTTTCTGTTCCTCGATGTGCCATCTAATGTGATTAGTGATCGAAAGGAAGAAAAGCCTATTCTCCAGACTCCAACTCTGCTGCCTCCAGTTTCAACAACACTACCACCTACATGTGATTTACATCCAGCTCCTCCTGCCGCGATGATTTCAACGAAGCAAACAACAGCACCTCCTCCTCCACCACCTTCCATAAAGAAAGCTCCTCCTCCTCCTCCCCACCTCCCATAAAGAAAGCTCCTCCACCTCCGCCACCACCTCCCCCTCTCCTCCTCCTCATCCTTTGCTGACGCCACCAGCACCACCAAACTGGCCAAAAAGAATCCTGCGGCGCCACCTCCACCACCGAAAGCAGGGGTTTCTGTTTCAATACTAAAACCCCCAACAGCGCCAAGAGGCACAGCAACCAACAGGAATGGAGCAAGCACATCGCCAGAGAACTGGAAAGGGGCTGGCTTTGGCCAGCTGAAACTGAGGCCTCTGCACTGGGATAAGGTTATAGCTAATTCTGATCATTCCATGGTTTGGGATCAGATCAAAGATGGATCTCTCAGGTAATTATATAGTCTTAAAACATATGCACGGTTATTGTTTCTTTTTCTAGAATAATTTCTTTCATCATGCCAACCCATTTCCATATCCATGTCTTCTCACCGATTGCTATACTGTATTCAGATTTGACGATGAGCTAATAGAAACTCTATTCGGATATACTACCTCCAACCGGAAATCACCAGACAATAATAACATATCATCTAATAGTTCAGGTAGTTCCAGCAACACCCCAGCAGCTCAGGTTTTCATCCTTGACCCCCGGAAGTCACAGAACACTGCAATAGTGTTAAAATCTCTTGCGATATCTCGGAAGGAAGTTATTGATGCCCTTCGCGAAGGACAGGGACTCAGCTCTGAGACCCTGGAGAAACTAACCAAGATTGCTCCAACCCGAGAAGAAGAAGCTAAAATCCTCCAATTCAATGGCAACCTTATGAGACTTGCAGATGCTGAATCGTTCCTTTATCATGTCCTGAAAGCTGTTCCTTCAGCATTTATACGTATCAATGCAATGCTTTTTAGATCAAATTATGATTCAGAAATTCTGAACCTCAAGGAATCCTTGCAAACACTCGAGTTGGCGTGCAAGGAGCTAAGATGCCGAGGACTATTCTTAAAACTCCTGGAGGCTATCCTGAAGGCCGGTAACAGGATGAATGCTGGAACTGCGAGAGGCAATGCATTAGGTTTCAACCTTAGTGCTCTTCAAAAACTTTCAGATGTCAAAAGCACTGATGGAAAGACAACTCTTCTTCACTTTGTTGTGGAACAGGTTGCTCGGTCAGAGGGTAGAAGACATGTGATCAACAGGAACCACAGCCTTGGAAGATCCAATAGTCAGAGAAACAATGGCGATGTAAATCCAGATAACCTGATGCCAGAAGAGAAAGATAGAGAATATATGATGGTAGGTTTACCGGCATTAGGAGCCTTAGGTTCTGAATTCTCCAATGTAAAGACAGCAGCTACCATAGAATACGAAAGCTTCATCAATATATGCTCCAACCTGACAGGCCGTATTGCAGAAAGTAGGCAACTCGTAACATGCTGTGGTAACAAAGAGCAAACTGGTTTTGTAATGGAAATGAAAGGGTTCTTAGAGGATTGTGAGGAGGAGCTGGAGGTAGTAAGAGAGGAGCAAATAAGGGTTATGGAACTCGTGAAGAGGACAACAGAATATTACCAGGCAGGAGCATCCAAAGAGAGAGGAGCAAATCCACTTCAACTCTTTGTTATTGTTAAAGATTTTCTTGATATGGTTGATGGAGTTCGTGCAGACATTACAAGAAAGCTGCAGCGTGCGAATGTGATACACTGCACAGGATCATCACCACCACCATCACCACCTAGGAGAACTTCCCTTAAATTAATAAATTTCCGTTCACAATTCATGTCAGACATGTCTAGGACCTCTTCTTCCAGTGAATCAGATGATGATTTCTAAAAAGAGTTTGCTACAGCTCTCTGAATTTTATTAACGAAGAAATGAATTGGAGGGTTGGTTCTTATGGAAGAAAAGGAATCCATGAAATTTACCAGATTCCTAAATTTAGTTTCAGAAGTTGATTTGTGTAACGTTGTAAGATAATCTTTTGTCATCTGAAAAGTAGACTTGGAAGTTTATCAACTTTTTTTTTTTTTTTGAAAATTGAGCATTTCATTCATCAACCAGGAGTGAACAATTCTTGTACAGAGAACAAGATCAGTCCCAGGTTCTAAATTGCCATCAAAACCTATAGCAACTTAAAATCCAGACTTTACAAAAAGAACACAGAGAAAGAGAGTCCCAACCTTCCCTATACAAAAAGTCTCTTCCCTCAAAACAAATCATGACAGCTCCTATACATCAAATCAAACAACAAAATAAAGATCCTGTTTCACCAGAAAGCAACATCAAAACACTATCAACACAGCACAAATGATCTCCAAAAAAAGCAGTCATGAAGCTTAAAACTTCAACTCTAAAACCAACCTAATCAAAATGCCAATTCCAGTGCATCCCACCCACACCAACAACTTTCAAAAAAAAAACAACTCAAACCTGCTGTGAAGAGCCAGCATCCTGTTCCAAACTCCCACCGATTCTACTCATAGACTTTAAACACATTGTCATAACGACTAACCCTTTCTTTTGCTAACCTGCCAGCAAGGTGATTTTTTTTCCCTAAAGATATGAACGACTTTCCACACCCTGATTTCCTTCTTCAGCCGCTCAATTTGAAGGATCCATTTCCTCGTTCGCCAAGGTGATCGAAGAGGTTCATTAATCCAATTAACGGCATTAACCGAGTAGCTTTCAATGATCAAAGTATGAGGCCGCGTCCATTTCGAAGCAGAAAAAACAAGAAAGGCCTCCCTAATTGCCATAACTTGGATTGAACCTCTCCAATGGACTTCGAAAATAGAACTTTAATTTTCCCCTTCCCGTCTCTTATAGCACCCCCAACGCCAGCCTCCCCAGGATATCCACGAGCAGCTCCATCAACATTGAATTTCATCTCACCTTGGCTTGGTTTAGTCCAGCTATCCACAACCCTTGGCTTTTTCATTTCCTTTTTCGTGACAGCCCCTGCGATTGGACTTCAGAATGTGTCCACAACAGAACTAAAATCTTGAGGCCACTTTGCTTTAGTCCAAGTGGCAGCCCTTATTTTACACATATCAAAGACTTGGTCAGCATCCCTAATTGATCCCCCAAAACCATTTCGTTCCTATGCAGCCATAAGGACCATGAGATGGCAGAAAATGTTTATCAACTATTTAATCTGCCTTTCATGTCAAAGAGCTTGGATCTACCGACGACCAAACTGAGATAGGGTCAGAAACAGGTTCAGACTGCTATAATAGATTATGAAGACTCATCAACTTAATTATTTTTAAAACCAATTTCTGTATTCCAAATTTTAAGTTTTTGGATCTGAATATGACTTGTTAGGCAGACGTAGTAGCCTATAGTCTTGTAAATACTGAGCTATACCGTCAACTACTCATGAACCACCATTTTTGCATTGATGATTTTATCAATGAAAACAGGCACCATTTTTGCATTAATGTTTTTCAGACACCATTGTCAGACATGATAAAAACACGTCCTTGGCAAAGTACCAGCAATGTGCTCGTTAGGTCTCGACAAGCAGCTGAGGTTAATTTATGGTAGTTGAATTCATGATGACTTTAAAGTGTTCTTTGCATTCAATTGCTTTGACTGACTGCCAGAACTAAATTAATTCCTTGTCAAAAAATCTACAACGTATGCCTTTTTCCTTTCATTTGGCTGCCGAGTATTGTTGGAGCTTGCTGCTGGGGACTAGAATAGTAGAATGCTCTCGATATTGCTGGTATGAGCAGACGTGGCGTGATTCCAGTCAATCAGATTCAGGTCTTGGCCTTCTGCTTCTTGTTTCAGGTCTAATTTTTGGCCTAAGCCCCTGCAACAATGTAACACCCCACCTCACCGTTTAACTTGGGAAAAGAAATAAACAAAACAATTTTGCTCAAGAGTGTCACGCACCTAGACCTTAGGACGCAATCAGGCATGAGCTGGAGAAGGTTAATTGGCATAAGGTTATATAGTTTAACATACTCATAGGCAGGGCATCATTATCATTGCTCGGATGGTTATTCTTGACAGGCTTCCTACCATGCAAAGGATCAGCTTATCGAGTGATTTCCTCTATTAACACAAAACTGTGATGACCAGGGATCAATTATTTAGCTCTTGTGCCATCACTAAGCTCTAAGCAGATTTGGGAGCAAATTCAACTATGTAGTGTTCGTAGGCAAATTGGAGATTGGTCCAGGGAACGCAGTTAGGTGCAGTAGAGGCCCAAAGGTTTTTAGATTGAAGCTTCAAGGCTTGCAGCAGATTGCCTGGGATGGTATCAACAGGATGCTTATATTAATAATAATAATAAAATTGGGAGATATGCTTGTTTAGTGACTGCTATTTCTTGTTGTAATTACTGATGTTATCAAACTGTTGTACTGCTGGGAGCAGCTTGTTACCATTGCATCAACAGTAGGCTTGCTTACTTGTTTTGGAAGAATACAAATTTGATTCAAATATTAAATTGTGTAATTTAACTTTACATATATATTTTAAATATAAACGATATTGCTATGTACCTAACTTTTGAATTTGGGACTGATTGACCCAGTAATGCGGACATTATCAAGTTGAACTGTTATTATTCACTAGTTTGTTTGGTTTTTTTATTTTTTTGAAATTTTGTACTCACTAGTTCAACTTTGGGATTTTATATTTAAGTTTAACTCACTAGTTCAACGTTTCAGTATTTAAGTTTAAGTCCCTAAAAAATGTTAGTTTTAACTCATTAATTAATCGGGTGATAACATTTGACAGTGGAGTGCATCTGGTATTGATTCTTTATGCATACATATAGTTAAAACCTTTTATATCTTCCCTTATGATCCTTTACGCATACATACACCAAATCTGATTGGTATAACATAAAGTAAGAAAACCAACATAAGGCTCAAGTATTTACTTGAACAACCAAGTGGATCTGTCACGGGGTCATTACCCTCTCCCATGAAAACCGGTTATCACAGGGCAGCACCCCGCTTCTTATAGCCCAGGACCTACCCGTTCCTGCCCGATGTGGGAGGAGTGGACCTTTCCTCGTCACACCCTCACCCACCCGATTGCACACGTCCCCGTTGTCGGCGCACCGCTGCCCGGCCACCCTGCCTACCCCTCTCCGGCCTTTCCCGACCCGGGCGCTTGGTGTGAGTCGGACGAGGCAACAGGTCCGCTCTGATACCACTTTGTCACGGGGTCATTACCCTCTCCCATGAAAACCGGTTATCACAGGTGTGCAGCACCCGCTTCTTATAGCCCGGACCTACCCGTTCCTGCCCGATGTGGGAGGAGTGGACCTTTCCTCGTCACACCTTTGTCACGGGGTCATTACCCTCTCCCATGAAAACCGGTTATCACAGGTGTGCAGCACCCCGCTTCTTATAGCCCAGGACCTACCCGTTCCTGCCCGATGTGGGAGGAGTGGACCTTTCCTCGTCACACCCTCACCCACCCGATTCGACAACGTCCCCGTTGTCGGGCGCACCGCTGCCGCCGGCCACCCTGCCTACCCCTCTCCGGCCTTTCCCGGACCCGGGCGCTTGGTGTGAGTCGGGACGAGGCAACAGGTCCGCTCTGATACCACTTTGTCACGGGGTCATTACCCTCTCCCATGAAAACCGGTTATCACAGGTGTGCAGCACCCCGCTTCTTATAGCCCAGGACCTACCCGTTCCTGCCCGATGTGGAGGAGTGGACCTTTCCTCGTCACACCTTTGTCACGGGGTCATTACCCTCTCCCATGAAAACCGGTTATCACAGGTGTGCAGCACCCCGCTTCTTATAGCCCAGGACCTACCCGTTCCTGCCCGATGTGGGAGGAGTGGACCTTTCCTCGTCACACCCTCACCCACCCGATTCGACAACGTCCCCGTTGTCGGGCGCACCGCTGCCGCGCCGGCCACCCTGCCTACCCCTCTCCGGCCTTTCCCGGACCCGGGCGCTTGGTGTGAGTCGGGACGAGGCAACAGGTCCGCTCTGATACCACTTTGTCACGGGGTCATTACCCTCTCCCATGAAAACCGGTTATCACAGGTGTGCAGCACCCCGCTTCTTATAGCCCAGGACCTACCCGTTCCTGCCCGATGTGGGAGGAGTGGACCTTTCCTCGTCACACCTTTGTCACGGGGTCATTACCCTCTCCCATGAAAACGGTTATCACAGGTGTGGCACACCCGCTTCTTATAGCCCAGGACCTACCCGTTCCTGCCCGATGTGGGAGGAGTGGACTTTCCTCGTCACACCCTCACCCACCGATTCGACAACGCCCGTTGTCGGGCGCACCGCTGCCGCCGGCCGCCACCCTGCCTACCCCTCTTCGCCTTCCCGACCCGGGCGCTTGGTGTGAGTCGGGACGAGGCAACAGGTCCGCTCTGATACCACTTTGTCACGGGGTCATTACCCTCTCCCATGAAAACCGGTTATCACAGGTGTGCAGCACCCGCTTCTTATAGCCCAGGACCTACCCGTTCCTGCCCGATGTGGGAGGAGTGGACCTTTCCTCGTCACAGATCCGCACTGTCAAAAAGCCGACAATCAAGAAACAGTTGGTAAATCGCAGTCGGCGAGTGAGACTAACTCTCAAAATATTCACCACAATACAATTTATTTATTATAAAGTGAACGGAATCTGAGGATTAGTTCTGGTTTGCTCTCCACATATGACATACCAATCATTTTTGCTTGTCAGAAAATGTTAGTCAACGACTTCACATAGAACAAATGCCCTTTGCCCCTTAGCCCCCAAGAATACGTAAGCACAGAAAGGGTCCTTGTCTTTCAGTGGAATCAAAGCCAATTTCCATGAACTTTCTCACTGTTAATCTCCTTTCAGCTTAACCTTTACAAACCAAGGAGCAGAAAGCAGAGCCTCCAAAACTTGTAACTTTGCAAATTCTACAAGAAATGGATAGCCTTCCGCTTGGAGAAGAAGTGATACAGAAAGCATGTTCAATTGCCATGGAAGCGCACAATTACCCTGAAACAACATACCTTGTAGAAAACTCTCCCAGCTCATCGGATGTTTTCTTCACCTTCCCTGGATCTTGGTCTGTGGCTGATTGGTTTACTCGACTGCCTTTTGGGGAAATCAAGGTTGATCGGTCAAAGTTGCTGCCTCCCAAAGGCAAAGATGGAGTTGCTACATCTCTTAGAAGTATTGGCCGTGATGAACTTGCAACTGTTAATGAAGGGTTTTTGAGAAGATTAGAGTTGATCTTAGCCAATTCTTCGCTTCAAAGTGAGGTACCCATTACCATTGACTTGATATTTCTGTTTACATTTTTCACTTTGAATTTATATGGTATTCCTGGCTTCACTTCTTTGCTTCAATGCAACTTGATTACTTTGTTTTTCCAGTTTGGTATTAATTTTGCTGAGATTGTAGGATAGACTCAATTTACTTACTTTTCTAGTTGATCTTACATGATGATGGTGTAAAAATGAGGGTAAAAAGTGAATATCCATGGCTTGATAGATGTATAAAAGTTTGGATGTTTCTCAGGTAGAAAAAGCTATTACAGACAAGAAGCAGATAGTTTTCACTGGACATTCTTCTGCTGGTGCTGTTGCTATTCTAGCAACAGTTTGGTTCTTGGAGAAGTACACAAAACCTGAGATAACTCGGATGTCACCTCTGTGTGTAACTTTTGGATCCCCCCTTGTGGCTGATTTCATCTTTAACCATGCTCTTAGACGAGAGAATTGGTCACACTACTTCATACATTTTGTGATGAGATATGATATTGTCCCTCGGATTTTGCTTGCCCCTTTGTCTTCCATGGAACGAGAGCTAGAGCAGATTCTTTATCTGTTAAACCGAAAGGCATTGTTTCCAAGTCAGGGATCTACTAGAGAAGCATCCCAGTTCTACCAAACTGTGATGAGAAATGCATCAGCTCTTACCAGCCATGCTGCCTGTCAACTAATGGGAAACGCAAATCCTATATTGGAAACAGTAGCAAGCTTTATTGAGCTAAGCCCTTACAGACCCTGTGGAACTTTTGTCTTCTGCACAGGAAATGGGAAGCTGGTTGTTGTAAGAAACGCGGATGCTGTTCTGCAACTACTGTTCTACTCTTCTCAGTTGTGCAGCGAGAATGAACTTGAAGAGGTTGCAGAGAGAAGCCTCAACAACCACTTCGATTATCAAAGTGAGCTTCGAGAAAGATTAAAAATGCAAAATGTTGTTCACTTAGATCATTTGGAAGGGCTTCCCCTCTCCTCGAATGGCGCAACTGCTGAGAATATAGCAACAAGCATGGCCTTAAATGACCTTGGCCTGGTAAGTTCCACTTGTTCGCCTTGTCAACAATTTGTAACGTTATCTGATATCCAGTGTCCTGGAATTGCAGAGCACTAGAGCCAGGTTGTGCCTTCGGGCCGCAGGAGAGCTGGAGAAGCAAAAACTAAGTAACCAGCAAAGAATGGATAGGAAGAAGGCAGACATTGAAGCAGGACTTGCAATGCTAGAAGACTACAAGAGCAAATGTGCAGTTTGCCAGGTGGGGTATTACGATGCCTTCAGGAGTTCAAAAGACGAAGACGATTTCAAAGCAAATGTAAAAAGGCTGGAACTAACAGGAATATGGGATGAGATAGTTGAAATGCTGAACAGGTATGAACTCCCTGAAGGATTTGAGAGCCGGAGAGAGTGGGTAGAGCTTGCAACCAGGTACCGTCGCATTGTGGAGCCTTTGGATGTAGCCAACTACTATCGACATGCAAAGAACGAAGACACAGGGCCTTACATGGATAAGGGCAGGCCAAGACGCTACAAATACACCCAAAGATGGCGTGAGCATGCCCTGAGAATGCCTGTTGGATCGAGTGCAGAATCCAGTTTCTGGGCAGAGGTAGAGGAGCTGCTGCTCCATAGGAGCACCCGCCCTGGAGCGTTCGAAGAGATCAGGGAAACAAGTTTGAACCTTGAAAGAAAATTGAAGGAATGGATTGATGGTGGACACATAAGCAGAGACGTGTTTTTGGAAGGCTCCAGCTTTACCAAATTGTGGAAATCACTCCCTCAACAACATAAATCAGTCTCTTGTCTCCAGGGGCAAATCAACAGCTAAGCTCTGACTCTCAGAGAGAATGATGTATTTCAGTTTCAAGTCATTCTCATGTATTCAGCTTGATTTTTGTTTCAAGCATACTAAGAACAGCTGGGTTTCATTTTGACGTCGCTATGGAAAAACCCAGATTAATCTACATCTAATCTAATCTAATCTAATCGGTTTTAACTTGCCTAAGATTGTAATTGGTCCAAACAAATATCATCACAAACTTAAAACCATCAAGTCAATTTGATTCAATTTTAATTATAATCACTTTTAATTTGCCAAGAAAAGAGGTGAAAAGGATTCCATTAGTTCCTCCACCATTTCCTCCGTTTGATGAGAGGAAAATACCAAAAGGAAAAAGAGAATGAACCAATCCAATTCTCTCAAAATCCTTTTCAATTTAAAATTATGATTAATTTCACACAAAAAATCCCTTTCTTTCTTTTCAATGGAAGCAAAAAAAAAAAACAAATTTCCTTTCCTTCCTACCAAACACATTTCTATACTACCGCCATTCACACACAGTTCATAAACACCCACCCCCATCAAATAAAGCAATAAAACTTTTAGGATTTTTCGTCTAAGCATAAGCCGCACAGAAAGGCATGTTTAATATCAATTATGTAACATCCACGCATGTTGAATAATATAAAACTTCATACATCGTAAATCATCTTGTTCTTTTGCAATGGACTGGAGCCATCACTTATATCATAGCCGCTCATCCTCATTTTTCATACATAAGTTTCCACAACCTTATCCCAAACATGTAATTTCCTACTAAATATATCAATTGACTGCATAATACATCGGCATTACCAGGATGTTACTGTTTAATCTTCTCCGCATTTTTATTCTTTTTCCACGTCAACTACAGCTCACTTCATAATACCTGTGATGCCCCCTTCATATCATCTCCTTGGGATGAAGGGTAAACATTTGTTCCTGTTGAACTATGAGCAGTGAAGTCCTAGATGATCCCGTCCAGTGGACCATCATTATTTGTGGTTTAACTTACATAGTAAATGCTGCTAAAAAATACTTCACACAGTAAATGAGCATAATTATGGACGAGCAGCACCTTTGAAAGACACAAGCAATACTTTTCCCGCCTACTGCTGCTCCCGGTAATATCTGCCAAGATCATTGACACTGAAAAACTAAAAATAAATTTCAAACTTCATAAAACGAAAAAAGAGTTTGTCTCCAATCTATATCTGCAGGGAAATAGAGTTACATTAACAGAAATGGCAAAGCAAAGCATGAGGAACACCAATAGACCATTGCGCCTGCCAGGAGATATAATGATCAGCTGTCACCTGCTTTCTGTGTTCTCATCTCCCCTACATTTATACTCTTCCCATTGACTTTTGGAGCAAACCACAACACTAGGGTACTGTTTGATGTTCACATAAGGGAATAGAATTAGAAATTTCGGGATCTTTCCCTAAATTTCAGTGCATTTAAACTGCTGAACAATTTTCTGCAAAAACTATTTAAAAATGCACAGACCATATTACCTCTTTATATTAATCAGGTTCATTTCTGGCATATTTTATTATCATCTAAAATATAACTTTTTTTTCTTTGTAAAGAACATAGTTTAAAATAGAATGCCATCACCATTTGTTGTTTATTACATTTTCACTAAGTTCAGTTTCTAAAGATTTACACCAGGTTTAAAGGACATAGAATTGGAAGCTAGATTCTTACAAAGATGGGGTGATTTTTACCTGGAAGACGGCTTTGCAAATGGAGAAGCTGTTGGAAACACTAAACTTTCAAACGGGTGCAAATTTAACTCCGGAAAGTGTAATTAGACAGTCCTTAACTTTTATCTAACAATACCCTATTGTTATATAACAACCACTAATATAAAAGGTAAAAACCAATGCAATGAATAAATAACAGTACTCACTTTCAACTTCAGGAGTCTACTTCCTCTCCACAAGCCAAAGACTTTACAAACATTAACACATCATCATCATCAATAAATCAACTCCAGAAATCAATACTATGACATGAGTATACAATGAATCACTCAGAAGTACAGCCAACGACACAGAAAAGGTGCGAAAACATACCATTGTTACAAAAGCTTCATAGTGTATGATGCAAAAGGCAAAGGGAATTATTACACAAATAACATTAGTAAACGTTCACATGTCCATGCACAAGCATTAGCAAACATGACAGCATAGACAAATCAATGTCTGAAAAATCATGTTTGACAAAGACGAAGATAAGGCAAATGACAGTTACATTTTAGAAGGGGCAGGAGAAAGGGGCAAATCCCAAAAAGGACAAAAGAATTATAGGAAGGAGAATTGTTGCAGATATCTCAAATTTAGTCCATAGCCCATTGGTTTAAATTAGCCATTCAGTTACTTAGAGATACTATATGTAAAATTGGAAAAGATTGTCATCTGTATTTGCCCTCCATACAGGTGCTACAGACTAATAAATTAGAATCTTCCAAAGATACTCATAACAAGCCGCCAATGGTTAACATTAAACCATCATTTACATTCTCATTTTAACGTTTGATTATTATCAAATAAGAGTTAAATATGCTTAAAATCTCAGACCAAAAAAAAAATCCTCCACACAAGCCTCTGCCAAATACTCAAGAAATGAGGCTTAAAACTCCCATAAATGGTGTTACAGCTTGGACAGGCATTCAAATTATTTGAAAATTGTCAGCCAAATGCAACCAAAAAATATACTACAAAGATAAGATTAACAATTAACCACGAATGTTATCCTTCATCCATTATCCATATTCATGTATCACTTCAAAAAACGAACAAAAGTCATCCCCATATTACAACAAAAAGAAGACACTGGTCACAAAAAAGGACACATAGGTTTGACAAAAAAAAAACATTCCAAATACGAAAAATACTCTCAATAAATCAGACCTAGTGCATTTACCATCCAGATAAGCCTTAGCAACACATATAAACAGCATATACCCCAGGCTTAGAAAGAAATCAAAGCTATTATATATAATGGCAATTAAAACTCAAGGAATGCATTGTAATTGAAGGAAAGGGCCAAATTATTCATTAGCACAAGTAGAAGAGTAATTCAACTACCATGAAAATCAATTGCTCATGACTACTTGTCTAAAAACCATAAACAAATCAATACATAATTTTAATATGGAAAAAAACACAGAGAGGCACGTAACTTATTTGCAATATTCTTTATGTATTGAATTTCTATACCACCTTATCTATTCACATACCAAGATGAGTCCTCTACATCAGGTCATGCCCACACAGATAAGAACCAAACTCAAAGAAACATAGCTCAAATTCCTGGGTGCCAAAAGAGATAATACTATACTCACATCTAAATCTATTAAACTCAAGAGTCTAAGACTAACAAAACGCAATAAAAGCGTAAAAACGAAAAGAGTGACTCAACATACATAATTCACGAAAATAGAGACTGCTCCTAAGACCTTGCAATCATGCTACAAGATCGAGCCAACCTAAATGTCAGGCTGCCTCCTTGAATACTAGCTTCTGCCTCCATAGGATCACGCTCATACGGCTTCCTGCAACCAGGACAACGCCCATCATCCTCAAGAATTCTCTTGTGGCAGAAAAGACAGAGCCGGAACCCACATAACAGGGCAAAAAACTTGAGTCCGTGAAATCCAAATCCTCACGCATATGGGACATGATGATGGTGGCGAAAAGGCACTGCTACGCACCCATGACACCCCTCCCTGACCAAAATGCCTGTCCGTAGCTGGAAAACTTCGCTGCTTAGACAAATTAGGAAGAGTCTGTGGACGAAAAGCATCATCAACCTCCATGCCCTGCTATTCCCTGTAGCCCTCTGCACCATTCTCTGACACTCAGGCTTTGAGTTCCTCAAATCTGATCGCGCCCCATTTAAACCTAGCTGGAGATTTGGTTCATGCTCAGGAGTCGATCCAGAACAAAGGTTTTCCCTATTATTCTCGTTCGCGCTCCATTTTTTGCTTGTCATCATCGGCAGCCAATGCATCAGCAACGGCCTCCCAATCATCCAAACATCCATCATCCCCTTCTTCTTCCGTGATGCTACCGGAACAGCACCCGCCACTGCTCGTGCTACTGCTGCTGCTGTTGGTGAAACTTGTTCCAGACCCTGTTCCTCCCAACAGGAGGCTGCTCGTGGGGCTATTTGAAGGCAAAGACTCCGAATCGCTCTCGTGTTGGACCGATCCACTTTCTCCTCCTCCGTTTGCCTCACCTCTTCTCCTCATCTCTAAATTCTCCAACGAACTGTCCCTTTCACCTCGCGGCGTTCGCTTCGAATCGCCTCCGTTCGTTCCCGCCTTGCAACATACCTGGGTCTTCACCGCACCTAACCAAAATAAAAAATAAAAAAAATAACAACAAACAAAAAAACCCTAATTCAAAACTAAGGAAGACAAATAATTTATTAACATACTTTGCGAAAGCCATTGCTCGCGGCGAGCATCCAGTTTGCACTGCTTCAATTTCGCAGACCTCTGAAATTTCAGCAAAAAAATTAAACAAAAACATCAATAAAACAAAGGAAAATATGAAATAAAAATTCAAATATAAAAAAGGAAGAGAAAGATGAAAAAATTCGTACTCTCTTCTTTCTGGAGAAATCTTTGCCGTTATGAACTGAAGTGGAGGAAGCATTGTTGATCAAATCAGAATCCATGGCTCCCAATAAGAAAAGAGAGATTTCTTTTGAAATAATTGGGAGATTAAGAAAACCCTAATTTGGTGGTTTTTTTTTTTGAGTTTTGATTGAGTTTTCTTCGTTTTTTTTTTTTTTTCTGAAGAAGAAAGGAAACCAGAGAATGGATAACGGAAACTCCTCTGCTCCGCTCACCCTTTCGATTCCACTGACTCTTCTTAGCAAGCCTGTTGCTTATATATCATTCATGTGACAAACATACCCCTGACTTATACCTCTATTTACGGGTAGCTCATCCAAAGTGAATCGACTTTTGATGGATAAATGGGGGGTATTTATGAGATGGTGACGAGGTTGGAAAGGAAAGTGAAACAAAAAACGGCGTCGGTTTTAAATTCTTAGTGTAAAACGACAGTATACGTGTTGGGGTAAGTGCCCGGGTAAAGTCACCAATAAATTTGTGAATATGCTGATTTTTTTTTTTTGACTTTTCGGGTTGTAGTATTTATTAGAGGTTGCATAAATTAATTAGGATAATTAATGCTTTTTGTATTATCTGTAAAAAAAAAAACCTAGGTAGTATACTAAATGCCACAAAGTTTCTTCTTACCTCAATCTTCTAATTGGTTTTTTCCTCTTTTTTATCTAGTAAATTTTTATTTTTCTTTTGTGTAAACTATAAACTATATCAAAATCTAACTTTTCTTTAATCGTTTTTTTGAAGTTTAGATGGTAAATAATTTATGGATGTTAATGGATATCTTATAACCGGGTACATTGCAATATCTGATAGATTAAGATTAAAGTAATTTATAATTGAGTTTAGGTAAAATTTAAATAATAAAAATTTTGGAATGGCAACCCTTTAACATTGTATCCAACCCCAATATATAGGGACGAGTATCATATATTTGAGTTTGAGATGGGTTCATGTCGTTAGTTTAATACCCATTTCGGGTTTAGATAGGGTACTTGTATCCTCCTTGGATACCTGAACTCGATTATTGATGTTTACTATAGATGCTTATTTATTTGTTTTTTATTATTTAGGTTGTTAGTTTGAGATCTTTGTCAAATAATTAATTGTTTAAATTTTATTTTTAATGTTTGTTTGTTTTTATAAATGTAGTTAATAGTGATTTGTAAGGATGTAATTATTATTTTATACTGGTTTGTGTAATTAGGTACGTTAATAATTTGTTTTATGCAATCTTATATTTTAATTGGTTCAAATGGTTAAAAGGATAGTGAGTAGGGTATTAAGGTTCAAGTTGGTGTAGGAAATTTCAAAAATATTAAGTAATTGCAAGTTCGTGTATCCTACTTATTAATTGAGTTCAAATTAAAGTATTTCAAAATTACTAAAAACCCTACTTGTTGATAACTTTAATAAAAATACATTCATGTAGGATTCAAGTAGTAGTTTTAAGGTACTTATTGCCTAAATCCAATTATAATTAATAATCTTTAATATTAAATTTTAATTTTTTATATATTATTTTCTTATAATTGAATGTAATACTTGCTAAAATTCATTAAATGATCTATGATTTTAAAATTTAATTTACTTTTTTATGAACTAAATTTAATTTTTATTAATAATATACATAAAAATTGATTTTAAATTAAGTATTTAATGGATTTAAGTATTTAACAAATAATGTTTAGCATATTTGGATCGGATTCAAATAATAATTTAAAAATTTAATCAAGAATTTATAAAATTTGAGTATCTTATCAAATAATAACATTCGAGTTATGATACTTAAAAATTAATGATACTTTACTCATTGATATTCTTAAGTTAATATATTCTGCTAGGTGTCTATATTAATATAATACAATTAAATGATATCATTAAATATTTTACAATTTTAAAAAATATTATTATGCTAGGCATTCTATAATTAATATAGTATTATTAAATAATATTTCACACATTTTTACAATGTTCTGTTTTTTCAAGAAACGAATAAGGATATTTCTATTTTCATAATAGATCAAGGATTATATAAATAGACAAAGATCATTTATGTTTTGTAACCCAATCATCATAGTAAATTGGAGTTTATAGACATATATTAAGATTAGTTAAATTGTTAATTTTTTTAAAAAATGTTTTTGTTTAATGTATTATTAAGGAGTTATAATATAGTAATTATTTTTTTTACAAGTATCACTTTAACAAGTGTTTATAAGAGGATCTAGAATTTTCGTTAAGTGGGGACAAATATAATATAAATATATACTCATAAACTTTGTTTATTTTTGAAAAAAAAGTATAATAATAATAAATAACAAAGCATTTGAATAAATTGTTAGCAAATAATGTTAAAAAAAATTTACGCTAATAACTTTCAACACTTACCAACCAGAAATAAAATTGATATAATACTAAAAAAAATTTTTAAATTATTTTAAAAAATTCAAATAAACTGTTATTTTATGTTATGTTCAATTAAATTCTTAAATTTTTATTTTGGATAAAATAAATTTTAATGACTAATAATGTTGGGTTGGTTTATCATTACTAAAAAAATCACTAGTAATTTTATGCGTATGTGCACTAATATAAAGTTGATGTGAAGTGAAAAATATCACATAATATATCATTATGTCATATCATCATCTATTATGATATATAATAAAATATTTATAAATTAATAACCTCAATTAAATAATATTTTTGATTAGATTGATTCCAAGTGGTAAATTAATAATTCATTAAATATATAAAATTAATACGTTAAAAAACACATAAGTCCTCATTGATACATAAATTAATAAATCTTTAAACATCAAAATTGTGTATATATATATATATATGACTCAATTAGAAAATCTATATAAAATATTACTTCAATTTTATTTGTTTATTCTTGAAATTGAT